ATGCAACGTCCGTTCTCTTGTTCACGCCGAACTCTAATTCCCCAAAGTACACCTACAACTGAAAAACGAAGAGAGGGTCGTGGCAGCGCTGAGGACAGCTTTCCAGAACCTGGGCCCCGAAAAGGAAGTATTTCTTTCCTCTGAACAGACTGTAACGTTACATATAAGTTTTTTAATACGGAGTGCAAACTTATACATATTTGAAGTGTACATCTCTTTGATTTTGTGACAAAAACATATCTCACATTACGAGAGATTATTTCAAACGCAGTCAGACATTTCACTCTCTCCTGTTCGGAATCGCAAGTTCCAGTAGCCTTTTGTTGTTGCTTTAGTTTCGGTGTCAAATTTTTAATTTAGTAGCACTTCTACACCCACAGTAGCATCACTACTCCGCCCAGATCTCCGCCTCGACGATTGTTTGCTCCCCTTGGGTCGATGGGCGGGCGCTATTAAAGAAGTGTTCGGTGCATTTCGTACAGTAAAGAACAACAAAGCTACGTACTTCTGTATCAACATTCAGCTACCCCCGGTTACAGATAAAACAAATATTGGAATATTGTTTTTTTTTCACAAATCTTTGTTGGCCGTTGCTTGATCACCAACATTCTCCGGGATCCAAAGCTGTACGTTTCGCCGCACTCGCATTATCCTTCGATGCGGTGCACCGGTGGTGACGTCTTGCAATTCGCAAATCGGCTGCGGCCAGCGGTGAAACTAGCCCCAACACCAAACGTTTCCCGCTACAATACTGTAACCAGTGCCACACAACCCCGTAGTACACGGCCTAAATCTATTTTTAAACAGCTTTTTTTCTACAACGAACTGTCTTTTATTAATAAGACATACATACAGGTCCACAGTGGCACCGGCCGTGCGTACAAGGAGTGCGTATTTTATTCGAGTTTTTCCATTTTACGTTTCAGACGGGAATATTTGTCTCCCACCAGCCCCAAATCGGGGTGTGCGTACTTTAATCGGGATGTGTACTATATTCGGGAAATTACGGGTACCTGTAGGGGGAGGGCCATGGAAAATTATTTTGAGATTGGGGGGGAGGGCCATGGAAAAAGTTTTGACCGGACTTCCAGCGCACCAGCCCTCCCCCCGGTAAATATCGTACAGTCCCTTACCGTGCCTGTACCTAATTAGGCGCGCCTGGAACAGGCCAAATTCCAGCAACAGTTGCGGTAAAGCACCGCGAGTGTTACTACCGCCGGCCAGATAACCAGGATATCTGCTTACAGAACCTCTGCTTCCAGACAACTGCCTAAACCTACGGCCTATTCCACAGGATTGTAAAAGTAGGGATGTT